AGAATGTACGCGATTGCTGAATGGATTTAGTGAAGAGGCCACAGTGTATAAGGGAGGTAAGCAAAATCTTTTTGTCTGAAATTTGGAAATTTGGTTGATGTTTAATGTGGGATGTTCTATTATTGTTTTAGGTTTGTGGTCTGATAATTGTGACAGTTTGGTGTTGATTGTTTTGCTTGGTATTTTCTGGTGGTAATTTATGATTTCTTGATATTGTTGGTAAGTATGTTTGATGTTTTGTAGGAGGGGTGGTTCAATGATGGTTACTGTGTAACTAGGGTCGAGCGGATGTATGTTTCGTAAAGGGATGTCTAGCCAATATTTGAATAGGGCCATCCAGGCATGTTGAAATGTTTGAGTATAAGTGAATTTATAAATGATTTGTATGAAATTAATTGTTATTTTATTGTTGAAATTTGTTATGTTGAGGCCACCCTGATCCAGAGGCAGCATGAGAGTTTCTCTTTTTATCGTTTCCGGCTGGTCAGCCCAGATGAATCTAAAAATCAGTGTGTTGATCTGTTTGATGATGTCAGGGGATGGAGGTATGATTTTCAGGACGTATTGGGTGATGCTGACAAGGTAGGTATTTAACGCCATCAGGGGTTCCCTGAAGGAGAGATTCGTTGAGCGTTGCATATGTGTGAAGTGTAATGCTGTAATTTTGTTTATGATGGTTTAAGTTTTGAATATAGTTCTTCCCGAAGAAGATGCCAAGTATTTTGATAGTATCACTGGGGATAAGGTCCGTCACCGAACTGAACCCGTTTAGGTTGATGAATTCCGTCTTGTCCACATTCAGCCTGGAGCCGGAAGCAGAACCATACGTACTTATTTCAGCGACGATTTCTGATAGTGAATTTGGAGAGGTAAGGATGGCCGAAATATCGTCAGCATGCTGAAATATTTTAATCTGTGATGGTGAGTTGGGAATTTTGATGCCAATTATAGATTCATTTTGCAGTATTTTTGATGCCAAAGGGTGAATTGCCAGAGAGTATAACAACATAGATAAAGGACACCCTTGTCGGACAGACCGTGTGATTTTGAATTTTGAGGTGAACGCACCGTTGACCAAAGCTGAGCTGTTGATATCAGAGTATAAAATTTGGAGCCAGTTGAGAATATATGTGGGAAAGTTTAGAATTTGGAGAAGGCTGTGCAGGTAATTGTGCTCGATTCTATCAAATGCTTTCTCCTGGTCGAAACCGACAAGGGTACCCTTCATCTGTTTTTGTTCCATGTACTGCAAGATGAAGTGGATAGATTGTAAGTTATCCAGTATGGTTTTAACTCTTCCGGCCCCAGTCTGGGTGGGTAGTATGAGTCCATCTAGAACTCCGGATAGCCGATTGGCGAGGATTTTGGTGATGATTTTGTAGTCTACTGTTAGAAGGGATATAGGTCTATAATTTTTTAGTTGTTTGTGACTGCCTTTATTGTTATATGAGATGGTGATGATTGCTAATTTTTGAGTAGGTGTGAGAGTGTGTTGTAGGTATATATTGTTAATTAAGTTGGTCAGTTCCTCGACCTCCTCCTCAGTGATTATGTTGTTAACTCAGAGTAGATAGGTTAGATGTTTGTAGATAGTTGTTGATTGTGGTCTGTGAAATATTTTGAGAGGTGTAAAGGTCTGCATAGTATTCTTTGACTTCTGGTAGTATAGATTCTTTAGTGGATAGTACTTTACCCTCTATATTTTCTATTTCCTGGGTTTGTTTGTTTGCTGAATTTCTGATTTCAAATAGTTTGTATATTTCGGTTTTGCTGACGTCAGGGCTGGTATATTCTTGTTTTGATCTTATAACTATGCCGAGGTTGAATTCTTGTTCTAGTTGGAGTATTTTTAGTTTAGTAGATGTTATTTCTGGGTGGTCTGAATTGTGGAGTAGTTCTAAAGATTGAAGTTTAAGATTTAAATTTTCTAATTGAAGTTTCTTTTCATTATATATTCTAACTGAATGTTTGTTTGAAATCTTCCCACCTGTCCAACTGACCTTCAATTTGTTTATTCTTATGCCAATAGTCTAGATAATATTTGATATGTTCAATGTATTTCTCATCCTTCAAGATTTGTGTATTCATTTTCCAATAACTTTTCCCCCAACGGTTTCTTTTTAATCTGAGTTTTAGACTGACAGCCTTGTGATCACCGACGGACTGTGGCAGATGTTTTATTTCTTGAACATTAGGTGTAATTGTTTTGGAAAGGTAGATTCTATCAAGTCTGGCTGCTCCTGTTTTAGTTTTGCTGTATGTGTAAGATTGAGTGCTGGGGTAAGTTTGTCTGTAGATGTCAGTAAGGTTTAACGAGTTGATTGTAGTCTGAAAGAAATTTTTGGTGTCTTGTTTTAGTGAGTAAATTTGAAGGTGTCTTTTAGTGTCTATTGGTTCGAGTATAAAGTTGAAGTCGCCTGATAGTATGGTTTCGTTTGTGTGTTTTATGTTCTTGTTCATGTACTCTAGAAGGTTGTTGTAGAAGATAGTCTTTTCTATGTAATCATTAGGTGCATATATATTAATTATTTGTAATGTTCTGCTCGTAGTTTGAATTTCAACGTGTAGGAATCTCCCCTCCAGAAAACCCTGAGGCGTCAAATCTTTACAGGTTATGTGACTTTGGACCAGGGTGGCCACTCCTTTAGATTTATAGGTGCCGTTATTATTGAATATGTTGTAGTTAGATTGTGATTGTAGAAGCTTGATTTCCTGTATGCTAAGTAAAGATGTTTCCTGTAGGTTAATTATGTGATATTTATGAAATATAGATGTAATGTTACTGTATTTAAGGTTGAGATGATGATTGATATTAATAGAGATGAAGTTAAGAGCGATGGTTGAGTGTGGAGGGGGTTATATAGGGTGTTTAGGTAAGTAGGGTGTTAGTTTTATCTACCTTAAGAAGATTAAACTTCAGTTTGTATGGGTGAGGTTGTCCTCACCTTCTTCTCTGTATTTTCTTCTGAATGATCACTAGAATTATCTGAACTGATTTCCTTCCGTTTTAATTCATCTCCGTTGAGCTGTAAAAAACTTTCAGATATGTTATTATAGGAAGTATACTTTCATTTAAGTGTGATATGTGTAGGTCTATGTATAGTGGCCCAGACTTAGAGTCTTCACTCGTTTGATTTGTTTCATCTTCTAGAGTGGGAGGTGGTGAAATTGGTAGGGGTGGTGGTATGTCAACCAGCCTTTTGGGGGTGGAGGATATAGGTCTAAATTCCTCTAGCTCTTTTAGGGTACGAGAGAGAGCGTCCAGTACTTCAACCCTGTTGTCAGTTGACGCTAGCTGAGTGTTTGTCTGCTCAACATTGGTTGATGTGACTGTGTTGACAATGGGAGGCTCATTTGGGGCAGTTTGAGGGATCACATTTGGGGTGTCAGAGGGTGGTTCAGGTCGGGGTTGAGGTGATGCTGGAGCTGGGATTTGTGTCCCCCAGATAGTCGTCATCATGCCTGGGCGTTGCTCCTGTTTGTCATTCGGACAGCCGTTAGCATTGTGACCGTACTGACCGCAGGCATAGCACTTTCTTTGTGGTTGAGGCTGGCCTTCGTACCTGAAGCTAATTTTCTTTCCGTTGATGTACATTTTGGAAGGGATTGGTTTTGTAATTGCTTTCACGTATGCCAGTCTTGTTCCGCTATTGATGGATGGGAACTCCCCAAAGTTAGTATTTCTCATGCTTAAGACTGTACAATATTTTGCCAATTTTTTGGTAATGGATACTGAGTCCAGTTGGTATGGGGCCCCGAATACCGTAATGGTGATATTGTCAACGGGTTCCTCCAATACCTCTTCCTGGCATTCCACCACGAGAAGTTTGTGTCCCTTAATCATAACATTGTCTTCAAACTGTGCGAGGAATCGATGCATATTGCTGTCGTTGTTGAAGGTTAAGTAGAAGCAGTTAGGCTCTACATTTTGGAGGCATTTAATGTGTGGAATTGAACTGCTACTTACATTCTGTATGTGGTAGAGTATATCGATGGATTTGATTCTTTCGTAGGTTTCAGCGGCGACCCATATGGCTAACGTATTCGTTCTTTTGAAGGTGTTTTGTCGAATCATTCCATTGTCGGTGAGGGTAACTTTTCTGGTTACTGACATTTTAGATCTCTCTAAAAAACTGTACACATTAGATACAATACATTTTTTTTTAGGTTTTAGATAGGAGTTTATATGCTAGGCGGCTCCTTGCCGCACACAATAGGTAAGTATCACAGCTACATTCTGATGGTTATGCACATCGATACAGTAAAAGTTATTGTAAGTAGAGGTATACTTTATATATCTGTGCTAAATATTCTGATCTATCTATGAACCATGGTGTAGCTGAACGACTTCTGAAACAGGTAGGTATGGTTACTGCACTGCTGAATCCTCAGGTAAGTATAACTAATTGTTAACTCGAAGGCTCGCTTAGCTTAGTTGCTCAAGAATGTGTTCTAACTAATCCGTTCTAATAAAAACGAGTATACTCGTCATTCTTGATCTTAGCCAAAAGGCCGAGAAGCGATCGGCACAGTTTTGAATATAATGGTTTGATTGACGAGACACTTTGACACATTTAAACATACGTGTAGTTTGTTTTGGAATGGTCAGCACTACTGTATCTTTTCACTTAAACCATGTTTATGAGCTAGTGTGCCATTAAAACCTCAGCACTTATGACCTAATTTTGAACCTTCTACCTTCACACTATATGCTATACTTTCACTTAAACTATGTACCATGTTAACATTAACACACTTGCGACCTGGTTACATAATCTTTTTAACTCTTCAATATCTGGTCTAATTTAAGTGTAATTTGTTTCAAATTTTTCCCTATAATTCAATTATGCATATTATATGATGTATTTATTTAAAACTGTAAAATTGTACATTATGAATCTATTCGTATTTTTTCTGCAGAGTTAATGAGAACTCAAACAAGAGTTCAATAATTTTCAATAATGCATATTAATTTAAGCAAATCGACTATGACTTGAAGTTTTTCTCTATTTATCTTTACACTGACAATATACGTTGTTAAAAGCTTACAGGCTAGAAGTTTCAAAAGGCCCAAACGCCCCGAGATAATTAATAGGCATATTCAAAGTCCAGGCCGATTTAACGCAAAAAAAATATATATTGTACTCATAAACATCAATGAATATCAAAACGCATTTAGAGGATTCTAACAAAATAATTTTTGTAGAACATGTAATGTAAATATGATTTGTCCCAAATATCTCACGACATCAACCGACTTATTAATAATTGCATTTAACATACTTATATTGGTATATAAAATACCAATACTAAATGTACCTTTTTAGAAGCTTTTAAGAGCTTGCCAAAGTGTTACCGATTGTTATTCCAAATTATTAATCCAATGATTTACAAGTGGTTGACTAGCAAGATACGCCCATTCCCTGATAATTTTTGCCAATCTGTGTCAAATCGCATACTACTGAACCAACACACAAAATTTCATAAAATTCTGACTTAAACTGTCACCACTATCACAAGTCACATTTAACATAGCCTATTTATTATTTGTGTATCATTGAAATCGGACAAAAACGGTAATCTGTATTGTGTTCAAAAACAATTTTTTACGCTTTTTACCTAAATCAGATGGAATTTTTATAGTCTCTATTGTACTCATTTACACATTTTACTATTTCAAGGGCAATTACTCATTTTCCGTTTATTGAAAAATCGTCAAATTCGAAATTGACCAAGATCTCTTTGTTCTAAATGATCACAACGAATATCAGATGGAAACTGTTGTCTCTAATGTGTTGACAAACACATTTTGATGCGTTTTTACTAAGTCACGGGCAATAACTCAAGACCTGTTAATAGAAAAATCGTAATATTCGAACTTGACCAAGATTATATCAATACGACTGGGCACAATGAATTTCATTCAAATCAGATACAAACTGCCAAGTGTGGACGGACCGACGGACTGAGGGACAGGAGCCACGACAATATACGACCATATTATATAATTTGGGCGTATAAAAATGGATCGTTTAACTACTAAATATAAGGTACAAATTTACACATTGATATTCCGGTTCATCATTACCTCTATACTTGATGCTGTTATGAGATAAAATTTCTACAAATTCCATGGATGTTCTCAAACCTAAACATCTCATCTTATTGTTATAATCACACACGCATCTATGAGTCTTAAAAAGCAACAGAAATGAACAAATCAAATCAATATCTTTTCTTTACGACTACTTTAAATGGTTTGGGAACAAGAACAAGTCCTTTAACATCAGGTTCTATATCAACAGATGTGCCTGGTGCTGGTGCAAATTCTAATTGTTGGAACAATCCTGCCAATATTAAATGTAATTCCGCTTTAGCCAACGGTTCTCCTAGACACACACGTCTGCCAGCACTAAATGGAAGCCAATTGTCAGGTTTTGGTGCCATTTTACCATCTTCGGTTAGGAATCGCTCTGGTTTAAATTGGTCCACATTAGGCCAGAATTTGGGATCTACATGTAACGCCCATAAATTTGTCATCAACATTGTTCCTTTTGGAATATCATATCCACCTGGAAATTGAGAAAGGTATTGATATAAAGATATACAGTCAACTATTAAGTAAGCGATCGAGAGAATACTTCGACCACGTACTGTTCAAAGGTGGTTGTTCAATTAAGGACCAGCCTGTACAGCCATTCTTTCAGGACTAGAACTAGAACTAGATATTGACCCATAGATCAGATCATTTTATTATGGTCATTAAGTGGACCTCCACAACTTGTTTCACGTTTTACTGGTTATACGAACATGAACTTGACCCTTCAATAAATTTGAGCCAAAGACTTTAGTTAAAATCTTGATGTCTAATATTAAAAACCTTTGTCATTTGTAATAAATATATTATACAATAGCGAAAAATTCCAATGGTAGAGCATCAATTGTAGAGCGATATGGAAACATCAAAACAGAGTTTTACGCTATGCAATCTTCAGACAACTGACCTATTTCAGCCTGCGTTCCTACTTAGTCTCATGTCTCCATTATTTCGAGACAAGTTCAGAACGTTTGTTTAAAGACTTGAACGTTTGAAACTCTGAATAGCAACACGTTTCAGGTTCCGTTTTAATATTTCTATGTCGCTCTACAATTTAAAATCAGAAATGTTGTACTACTTGTACTCGACTAATAAAATGCAAAATGTCAACAATGCATGTTGAATGATTTTAATGAATTAGGAATGAAGAAGATAACCATAATTTATTTACAGATCACAGATTATAACCAAAGAACTTACCAAGAGTTATGTCACAGCTTACTTTGTGACCGACACCAAGAGGTGCAACTGATCCAAGTCTCATAACTTCGTGTAATACCGCATCAGTATAGGCTAAATGTTGTCTATCATCCATTTTTAAACAGTGACCACCTTAAATGTTAGAATAATAGTTCAAAGAATCGATGTTTATTTCTTATAATTTCTTTTAGAATCGGAGAATAGGCCTATGCTAACCAAATTAAAAATTTTGTGATTCAACAGGCGTCTTAATATAAAGAAAATATGGAATATTGATCAGTGTTAAAGCTGCTGTTTTTTTCTTCAGGATCTCTTGATATGGTATTATAATAATACCGACTATAAGATGATTTACCTGATACTAAATCGACTTCTTCTTGTATTTTCTTCTGAACATTTGGTACACCAAGAATAAACATCATAGCCCATAATAAAGTTGAACGAGATGTATCATTTCCAGCTAAAAGATAACAAAAACTATATACTTGAATAATACAATAGTAAAATATTTCACCATCAAAATAGTACTCAATGCATCAATTGTAGAGCGTTATAGAAATATTGAACATAATTTGAATCAAACACCAACAAGAAAATACAAATGAACTCTAATAATACGCTATTTTGGCAACTTTAATTGAAAATAATAATCAGTTCTAAAGACTATAACACAAATAAAACCTGTGTTTAACTGAGAAGCTTTCAATCGTTACTGCTCCTAAGCACCCTTGTCTCGAAATGTAAACATGAGTAACAAGCAATAATTCCGTTAATAAAAATATTGTCCAAAGTACGGCAAAATCGAGAGTAAAAGTAGTATAGTAGTGGAATCCCCAAAGAGAAGTACCATCAAGTGTTTCGAAACGAGTAAGCATGGTCTGCTTCGCGCGCGACACTAGTCACTTCTATACGGGTCAACAACATGATTCAAGTTCTGTTTTAATATGTCTATACTTGAATAATAATAATATAATATCGTCTGATACCCGCTACAGACGACATTTTGTAAGGATGTCATTATCGGTGCCTGAAGCTTGATAATATGGCCTTCTTGCCTAACAGGAAGGAAACCAAGAAAGGCAATGTATATTTGAAATTCTGAAGAGAAACAGATGGACATTGACATCATACCCAGAAACATATCAAAGACTATCAAAACGATGTGCATTGGTTGAAAAAACGCCATGTTTTCTTCTCCTTCTGATGCTATTTCTCTCTCAGCGTGTAATAGACTATCTATTAAATCATTCACTTTTCCTGAAATATAAACTCATTAATGCTTCAGTAGCTCTACTATCTATAATACAGCTTCATTAAAAAATAGACCAAAACATCTTTTCTAACTTCTGATAGCTATTTTGAAAGTTGTCGGCTGTCTATCAGAGGCTGGAATAGAGGCAGATGTTTCGGGCTACATTGGAAAGTATGAGATCTCAGCTAATTAAAAATACTGACGAGAATAGAAGTCTACTATTTGAAAGCTAAGGTGGCTGATTTATTTAAACTGCCGTTAGTGCTAAAAACATAACTCTACATAATAATAATCACTGAAAATCCATGAAGACATCACACTAACTTTCAACTCCATACAAGTTTATAGTCTGGTACTATGTGCCCTTTACATCAAGCTAGAGAAGATACAAGTCTTACCAGATTTGAAATTTGCTCTGTGTTGTTCGACATGTTCACCAATCAAAAACAAAATCCTTCCTATTAAACTCTCTAATTTCCTGCAGGATTTAGTTTTGTAAATACCAAGTCGAGCAAAAATGGAACAGATATTTTCAAACACAATTCCACTGCTTGCTACAGATGTT